AGCAGGAGCAGGAGCAGGAGCATTAGCGGTAGCGGTGATAATAGTAGTACTAGTATGACGCGAGGAAAAACCTTTCTTTCAGGAGCTCTCTGAACTCGAATCTGACTCTGACGAACTCGAAGAAGAGGTCGAGGATGCTTGCTCTGCGCCCTCAGCCACAGCCAATTTTCTGCGCCTGGCCGCGCGGCGGCGCTCCAATGCTCGAGCTTGTCTTGCGGCCCGGTCCTGCCAAGCAGTTGTGAGCTTGGCCCGAGGGATGTGTTGCTGCGAGTGTCGTCGGGACATCAACGTAGTGGTTTCGCCTCGTTGTGGCTTTCGCCGCTCCCAATTTCGATTCCCAAAGTAGCCCTTCCTCCAAGAGCGATCTTCGACGTCCTCAAGGAAGAACTTCGGAGTAAAGCTGGTCACGGGTCCACCGTGCTCATCGGAAAAAACCTTGTTGATGATCTTCAGCCGATCATAACGGCCAAAAGAAGCTTCAACACGCAAGCAATAGGTGCGCTGTATCTGAAAAAGGCCTTCCTCCATGAGGTGACGCTTTGCAGGCTTCAAGTCGGAGTCGTACTGCAAGACCTTCCACCGAATGCCGCCATCGTCTTCTTTATTGGCTTTCGCAGCCGCTGCTTGACAAATACGAACCAACTCTGCTAGAGAACTGATCTGCCGGTCCTCTCCGTGGCTCAGATAAGAGGAAATCCACCGATTTACAGTAGCGAAGGCCGCATCAACCAAGCCCTTGCCGTGTTTCTCCCCGAAGTAGTTGATGGTGGTGGGACAACCAAAATGACCGCAATACTCTTTGGCAAGGTAAGCGATTGTGCTGTATGACCGGAAGTGGCCACCGCAGTCCATCCAGACACCCACGTGTTGTAGTCTTCCTGCGAAGTCCCGAAGCTGCCCCGTGTCCTATCTTACCTTGCCCCACTCTAAACCTATGCTATGCTGCCCTACGCTACAACACCATACCATATACCCTACCCCACGCTACGTATCCTACCCTCACTCCTCTCACTCTCATCCTACACTATTGGACGTCCTGGTTGCGGGAGAAACTGCTTCAGCTGCCCGAAGAAGACTGTACTTGCAAGCGCTGTGTGCTCGATAATTTCACTGAAGTATACGAAGTTTTCTTGGACTATGCCTGAAGGTGTGCCACTAAACACCACGAAAGCAATGCATGACAGTTCTTGACGTGCAGGCCCATAGAACATCGTGCCTGTCTGTATCGTGGCAAGTGGCAGTGTAATGTTTTGCTTCCAGTCCGTCCAAATAAGACATTGACCGGACTGTAGACCGGTCCTTTGCTCGTAAACGGCGTTCGCTTGGCGCAGTGCTGTCTGTTTATGCCAGGCATACGACTCCGCGATCTGGATCTCGAAACGGAGCTCGTGACATATCTTTGCTTCCAACGAATGCAGATCGACAGCTCTGGCCTTAAGTTTCTGTCGCCCTGCACGGTTTCGCTCGCCATGCTTGTCTATGAACGCATTGAGCTTCTTGGCAACTTCCAGAACGGACTCCTGGTCTTCGATCTTCAAAGCCTGGAAGTAATCCGGTAGATATTCCATAAGAGATGCGCGAGCATCTTTGATGAATCTTCGCAGGCCTGGCTCCAGAGTCGTGTCAAAGTAAACACAATGGTCACACATGTCAGTTTTCCGTGTAGCCTCTTTGGCCCAAGGCTGACAGTGGAACATGAATATCTTGTACCATTGGGTCCACTTGAGTTCTTTGGTATACCCGCAACCCAGCCACATACTGAGCAACGAGCTCGTCAAAACCCGCTGGTGGCGGCCCTGCTCTGGCAGCCAAATTGACGAATCCTGGCTGTTCGCAAGAACTGTGTCCGTGACTGCCTGGATCCATTTGGGATCCGCGACTTTGCTTGGACGACCTTGAGTCAAGGCAAGCAAGTATCACTTCCCCGATTTATTACATCCCCGTAGTACTGAAAATCATTTGGATTGAAACTAACCGAAAGGTACCACGAGGTAGCCGGAACTCTAAAGGCTTTACTATGACCTAGGGTTTAGGGTTTAGGGGTTAGGGTTTTTGCAGCCTCGCGGGTCCTTCCAGACACCACCTGCTTCTTCGGCTTGCACTGCACGCCAAGCCTGTTGGGAAATCTTGACGTTCAGCTTCCCGAGCTCGGTTCTATTCAGCCCACTCCGCACCAAAGCCTTATCCAATGGGCGTACGTCTCCCTGCGCCTGCCCGAGTGTAGTTCGGTATGATCCTATGGCGTTCCCAAGCTTGCTGCATGTCTCGCACACAGGACTCGATGGCCCTTCCGTGCCTGCCAGAGCGCGGTTCAATCGTTTCTGCACTGACTGCATGAGAGTAGCGGCATCCGACGAAGTGGTGGCATGCTGCAGCATTTGATCCGCGATGGCTTTGCTGACTCGATTTATTTCACGTCTTCGATCGCGATGATGAGCGAACATGCCAGGCGCATTCTGCGGGGAAGCAGCGGCAGGCTCGGCCTCTGTGCTCGTCAACGGTTGCGTGGAGTCTTCTGTCTCGGCCCCTCGCTGTAAACCATGCGAAGGTTGTGAAGGCGCAGAAGCACTGGCCGGCTCAGACACCCCTGACGTGGTTGAAGGCGGCAGCGGCCGCGCGGCCTGTGCTGGCTGGGAACAGTGTGAGGGCTCAGGCGTGCGGACTGGTTCAGACACCGCTGACGTGCCTGATGCTGCCCCGCCCTGCAAGGCGCACTCAGACAGGAACCTCGCAGACAGGCTATCCAACTTGCCACTACGCAGTGTCTGCGCCAAAGGGCAGATGGCATCTTGTTGCTCGGGCGTGCAGCTCTGAAAAAAACTGTATGCCATTTTCTTCTTGATCTCATTCAGCAGCCCACCCTTCTCCTCCTGCCGTTCTTTGGCTGCGGAAGTCAGAGCCTCGCCCAGTTTCTGGGAAGCCTGCGTGCGGCACTCCGTGAAGAGTCGTTGCCGCTGCTCTCTGTCAACCTTCTCCACGCCGGCCTCGCTGCTTGGCCGCTTTTTACCACGGTCCTGAACTGCACGTGCCGGAGCGCCCTGCTCCAACCAACTCTGAAACCAAGCTTGAATTTCCATCGCCATGGTATGCCATGGTCTCTACGAGCAACCTGCATCTAGTTTAAACCTGCTTCTGGACATTGTGCCTCATGAGTCTCGGCGCTTCATGCGGTGCTGTTGTTTGGAAGCCGCAGTGGGCTACTACCTCCAAATCACACTTGAGCATTCGCGGAGTCTTTAGCGCAGCTTTCGCGGATCTTTCGCGCAATCCACTCCAAAAAACCCCAATCCTGAGCTCAAGCACACACGGTTTTCAACACATTCCCATCTTGGAGTCTTGAAGTCTTGATAAACCTTCGTACACTACTTGATCCCCCTTGCGCTCGCGAAGGAGTGTCGCAGCCCCAAGGGGCTTGAGCCGGCGGGAACTTGAGCCATACTTTTGGATTGGGAAAACGGGGGAGTTTTTTATTTATGTTGGAGCTCGACGGAATGGAATGGAGTCAAAACGAACTTTAAAAAAATGAGAAAGAGGGGGAGGGTATCTTGTATCAGAGCGGGGCGAGAATACTATATCAGAGGAGACAAGTATTTGTATATGGGGGTTGTTCTTTACTATGGTTGCAGCCCGTAACTGGAAATCGCTGGAGCCCTGCTGGTTTCGGGGCAGGGCCTTGACCTGCATCAGAATATTGCAGTGCACTGCCAGTCTACGGTCAAGAGGCAGGGGTTTACAACAACTCTCATAAAGGCTCAGACAGCATAGTGCGCTTGCATCTTATAGATGCACTGAGATGCAGGGATTCAGGGCTCGCTGTAGCAAAAAGGGCGCAGGTCTGGGACTCACTCAATTGAAGGCGGTGCCTGGCAACGATTATACAGGCTCGTTCAAGTTAAGGGCTCACCGTTTACAAGGTTCATGGGCCTGGAGATCATACCTATAGGGGTTGGGGGCGGCTACGAGGGCTCCAGAGGCCACAAGGCTTAAGGCCCACGGCTGACAAAGTGTCATAGGCACCGCTACGACATCGAAAGGCTTTAAAACGTTCAGGTTCCGAAGGCCTGGACTATGGGTGCTGGTTTAGGGGTCACTCGATTGAAGATGCTAGGCGGAAAGTCGCAACGGGTTGTCGCCTACAGTCTTAGGGCTGACATAGTGTGAAGGGTTTATGCATGGTGGGAGGTCCAAATGCTTCAACAGGTGCCAACGATAATGCTGATGATCTTTGGTCCAAGGCTTAAAGCTACCACTGTATACTTGGAGGTTCATGGGTAGCTATAAGCGGAAGTAAAAGTCCCCTAATATAGGCTATAACTCTAGTTCCCATACTTATATAACCCTACTTAGAACCACCCATGAGCCTCCAAGTAGGTTTACGTCTCGAAAAGTGCACGGGTCAAGGGATCCAAGGGTTCAACATTCGTGCGATGTACCAGTGTTTCACCTACATAAAATTTCTTTCCACTAAAAATTGCCTTCTATTGGGATATTCATATGACGTACTACCCTACATAACCTCGGAGCACGGGGGCGCTGAGACTTGGAGATCAAAGCTTAGGGTGCGGGGAATGTGGCAGACACAAGGTTCGGGATCAGCGTTTCCAACATCCGGTCGTTCCTCGAGGGAGCCTTCCGAAAAAACAACGAAAGATGTAAAGCAGCAGTCTTTGTAGTAGCAGCAGCAACAGCAGGATGACTAGTAGTGGTGATAGTAACGATAGAAAACTCTGACGAAGCAGCTGCATGGACTGATGATCTTGAACAACGTGGAATAACCAAGCAACTCGGTGGTACTGGTAGTGGGTACTGATATTACTCGCACAAGTAGCAGCGGCAACAGCAACAGCAGGATGACTAGTAGTGGTGATAGTAGCGATAGAAAATTTTGACGAAGCAGTTGTATGGACTAATGATCTTGACCAAGCTCCTCGGTGGTACTGGTATTGGGTAATGATATTACTCAGCACAAGTAGCAGCGGCAGCAGCAGGATTACGAGTAGTAGCCACAGTTCTCTTGCACCAGGCTCTCACGAAAACAGCTGTGCGAAGCTTTATCAATGCCACCAACATCACCATCACCGCAACTATCACCACGGAAGCTTGACAGGCTCACCTACAATCGTGCGGACGCGAGAAACAGAACAAATTCTTCTTGCTGGACTTCGCGAACAGATTCACCCCGACTGTCCCCCGTCCAGGGCCTACACATTGCTGAAAGCCTTCGGCCTTCACTGAACTCATTTGTTCTTCAAGAACGGATCGAGCACACTGGCGAGCAGTTTTGCATGCTTGGCCAGATTGGCTCTCTGAGATTCCACTGCTTCGCACCTAGTCTGTTGCACAAGCTTTCTTACAGCGGAAACCTCTTCCTTGCTAAGTCGCTGCCAGCTTTGGTGTTCAAAACGCTGACGGATGATGCGAAGACACTCCCCGCAACACCGCCCCTTGAAATCCACTTGTGAACGAGGGCATGCACATATTACGCATTCCCCGCGGTCAAAAGAATGGGCGTGCCTGCCCCCGAAGCCGCACCTTCCACGAACCCCTGGCTTGTCAGACTTCGGCGCCTCCGGCGTCGGAGCCTGCCCAAGAATGCATTTTTCTCACAGATACACATCTTTGGCGCCCAGGCCTCGTCCTCAGCTTTGCGCTTGGACTTGCGCGGGGTCGCTGCAGGATCCATGTCCACCTGTGGTGCACATGCACAGCATGGGGTTGTCGTATGGTCAGATTTTCCCCTGGCCTCGTTCCCAGCCTTCTGCTTGGAAGGGCTTTCCGCGGCGGCACTGTTCGATGGCATGGGCTGGCTTGCATGGTTACCACACATACATACCTTCAGGGACGGAGTTTTACACTTTGGAAAACCAAAAAGAAGTTTAGCCTCATCAAGCAACTTCGTCATGCTTTTCTACACTGCTCCCACCGGCGTCCCGCCAACTGCTTTCCGCGCCACCATGGCTCGGATCTCAAGGTCCAGAGCTCCGTCTGGCACTGTCAGCCCCATATCGGTGACAGCTTGCCGGAGCTGGAACTGGTTCAGCTTGGCTACTTGGGCATTCGAGTACTTTGGCGGCATCCTAACAGCCACCCACCTAACACGAGCTAAAACTTCAAAGCCGGCAGCTGCAAGCAAAACATGTTTGATTCATATAGTGTGGTATCGCGTATCGACACATCTTTAGCGCAAAAGTGTTTTCCTTTCGCGCCTGCTTTATCCGATCTTTCGCGGACCCTTTAAACCCTATCACATTGCCGATTTTGTATAAACCGTAGACAAGGACCTTTAGAACAACCCTCACATGTACTTTCTGCCGATCCTTCCGTGATGGTGTACTTTGAATGGCCCATGGCATGCTCAGGATGGCAACAGCAACCTATGCGGTACCTCAAGGAAGAGCTCGACAGACAGGATGTCCCCTGGCTGCCATGTCGTGTTGATGGTTGTCGATATGATCTACGAGACTTGGAGACAGAAGACTTCATTCAGAAGCGGTGGTTGATTAAGACCAATGATGAAACTTTTCATCAACAATTTCGTGCGAAAGTATGCCCTGGCAATCATCGCCACGCTCCTGATCGTCAACACGATTCCTTTGCAGAGACCTACTACCCCGAGAAGCTGGTGCAATCCATCACTCATCACTGGCGTGAGCAAATGTGTCCTCATCGGCATCTACGATATCTACGACAAGGTGATCAGCAATGGCCAGCCGATGACAACGACGTCGTGAAGAACTGGGATTTTCACGCAGTGGAAGAGCCATGTGAGGAGGTACCAGAAGAAATCGAGTTGATGATGAGTCAGCCAGCAGTGATTGAAATCAACAACTACGCGCGGGAGTTGAATGCTCGGCAGAAGTTTTCCTTTGATGATTGCGACAAGCTGATGTACTT